AGCCCTACCTCCACTTTCGAGTTTAGGTCGGTGTCCAAATATGGAAATATCCGAAGGTATATTCGTATCGCAGAAGAAAAGGAAAGAAGATCCCGAGAAGAAAAGAAACTATCCTAATCCCGAAGGAGAAGGATTATTCTCAAGGCGGTCTACGGAAGCTATATAAGAAGAGCCCCCTCCCTCGAAGATGATTCATTCACAACTTCGGCCTTGAGACCTAGGGCAATTAATAGCTTACTGCTTCCAGTTTTAGATCTCGGTTTTTTACTCACTAAACTTAGGTCGACGTTCTTTTCCGACGATCTAAAACCCCTTGTACACTTCGAGCTCCGACTAATAATAAAAACAACTTTATCTTTTCCCCTATAAATCTTTATATTTTCTTTAGATGAGATATCCAGATCTTACAGTCACCAGAAGAGAATTCGAGTCCATCTTAATATCAAAGATTTTACACGTAGGCGGATAAACTAGCACGGAGTGCTCGAGACCACAGTTCCTATATATATTATATACACTCAGATCCTCTAGAATGGCTAACAGCTTTCTAGAAAATATTAAAACTGTAGAGAAAAAAAAAATCGTAAAATATTATTGCAAGAAACAATTTTAACAATTATAAACATAGTTTTATAGAAAATTTTACTTCATAAACTATGGAGCAGTGCACACACTACTCGTTAAAAGTTGACACAATAATTTATATTGAAGGTATTAATTATCAATGTATTTTAAGGACTTTCTATATTTTTAATGTCTTTGTCATTTTAGGACAACAAACATAATTTTATGATAAATATGAAAATTGTCCTAAAATCAAATATGAAAAATTTCTGACCAAAACAAAATGTGTGAAAATTATCTGATAATGGCTTTTCATTTCCTTTTTTCAGCAAAACTTACTCAATTTTTTTTTGTTGCTAAAGAGCAAAACTTACTCTTAAATTCTTAATGGGGTTTTCCTTATTGATCGCTAGGATATAGTCTCATGAATTGTGATGAGTGAATGATTGCCACGTTACCTAACACCAGAATTACCCAATTTTGTCTTATATATGTAAAAATTTATTAAAACCCAGTCCGTTTCCATTTGAAAAGGAATAGGTTCAAAAACTCGCAAGAGAATATGAACGAATTAGGACAAAATTTACTGCAAAAAGTGTTTGTTCTTTTATACTTACAAATATAAAAAGAGAAAGGGACACTTCAATCTCTGGCGATCAATGATTACAAGCACTGAAAACCATAAAGATAACGCTCACTTTTACCACCCCATAATTATTAGTCAGTTGAGATAATCACAAGTTAATTAAGGATCCTCATTCACCTTTTTATTCTTGTTTAAAATCAGAGTAACAGCTTCTTTCTAAATTTTTGATAAGACAACTCATATTAATCAAACGAGAGATCACATAAAATATTGATTAGTGAGACTGTGAGATACTATCATTTGGCTTTAAGTTGTAACAGTTTCTTTTCTTTGGCATTTCTCTATTTAAAAATTGTTCTCCAACACATCACCCAAATAAATATTTTATAGAATATTATAAAGTTATGTCTAATGATTTAAAATGTATGTACTGTCTAGGTACTTGAGCTCTTTCTGCTCAAATATACTATAAAATTAATAAATAAAAAGTGAATATGTAAATCTGACTCTAATAAACTTTCTAATTTATTATTTAAAAGTTATAAATGAAAAATTGATAACGAATTATTAGTCTATAATTTCTTATTAAATTCTTTTGTTTTGTGTAAATGTACTTGTTGGTAAAGTTGATGATATTTAAATTATATGCAAAATTCAATATACGTTTCACAAGTCATTTAACATTTTGGTTCAAATATATATACTATTAAGCGATTAAATTTATATTTTTACCTTTGTTTACATTTCAGCTCCTCTCTAAAATTTTCAACATGATAATAATGTAACAAAAATTAATAATTAAATTAGCTTTCAATTACCAATTTTCTTATAACCGAACTCATTTTGCCCACTTAAATTTATTATGAATATTTAATTATGTATGTTAAAATTTGAAAATTTACAGTATCTCCTCTTTTATTTTCCGTTTCTATGTATGTTTTTATTAATTTTTGTTTCATATATATAATAAGGAAACTAACATTACTACTTTTTAAAATTCAGCACAATTTAAAATGTTACCATGTTAGCAAGAGAAAGTGCCTGAATAAGCATTGAATGTAAAGCATGTTTCTATGTATTTAAAATGAATTTTTATAATAGTATTACATGTGTTAAATAGTTAAAAAATGAAATGACATAAAATTATAAATGACATGTGATATAATCATAATTTAGATCGTAACATGTAACTAAATTTACTTAATAGTAATAAAAATATAAGATAAAACGATAATTAAAAATAAAAATAATGGGAGAATTATAAAATAAAAGAAACTAACATATCTAAATGGTATATCCTAAGAAATTAAATATCAGTAATATAATAAAGAAACTAACAATACATAAATACAAATATAAATATATATATATTTCTTTCTTTTTTTAATATACATCCATTATAATTATAATTTTATAGACTAAGTTTTGGTATTTTTGGAGAAAAACAACAATAGATAATTGAAAAACTAATTTTTTTCTGCTGAGGTGTTTAGTAAAATAACCTTACATATCAAAAATTTAATCTTTTTATTTGTTTTGTCTCTAACAAATTTAAAACTACGAAAAATATGAAAAACAACAACATTCTACTAAACTGTTCGAAAGTATTATAATAAACAAACCATAATAAAATGATTAGTTTGCAAATTTTTTGATATTTAAAATTATTTCGTCAAAATCTCATTGAGAAAGTACTTTATTTGATAATTATCCTAAACAATTATGTTATACTTTTCCTTTTTACATATATTTTAAAATACCTATCTATGAAATCAATTTAATTTTTAATATAAATTTATAAAAAGAAAAAGTAGTCTAGAATAAGTTGGAAATTTAAAATAAAATAGTAAAAAAATATTACTTTTTAAAATCTACTTTTCGACGTTTTTAAAGAAACAAAATACACATATAATAATATATACAATATATCTTTTTTAAAGATTTTTATAAAATACAGCTCATATACAACTAATATTTTTGATTAACTAAACTATTTTACAAAATCATTCGAACGTTGAGAATTAAATACGCTAAAAACAAATTAGGATGTGGCGGCATAATGATGATAATGACAAAATTTTGATAGTTAAATCATAGATTAAAGGTCTTGTAGGTTATTTTATCATAAAAACATCTTTTACATTGTCTAAGTATATGTAATTATTTTAAACATAGATTAAAATTCTTTTTTTATTAAATCTAGAATATATTGTAAGAACTGTTTTATATGATATCATAAATTTTGATAATAGTATATGGAGATAAAATTAAATAATTGATTTGACTAATTATGTTATTAGAACATACATAAGGTTTTGATAGCTCTCATGAATTTTACAGTTAAATATAATGTAGATATCATATGAACAAGTAATTTTTAGTACCAATAAAATAATAACGAAATATATATATATTTTTTTGGTGATTTACAAATGCTAAATTTTCTAAAATAATTGGTATTAATTATATTAAAATTGAAGAAAGAAAAAAAATAGAATAATTTATTTCGAAATTACAAAATATTTGTTTTTTTGTTGAAACAATATATTTTTTTCTAATATGATTAGATAATTTGTGCATAATGGCGGAATACACTTATTTAAAAATATTTTTATTAAAATATATTTTATATATTATTTGATATTCAAAAATTAATTATTAGAGAAAACATAATTTAATATATATAGAAAAGACTTAATTTCTTATTGTAATTATTTTTTAATTTGTTCTTTTTTAAAAGGTATATTAGAACTAAAAATATTGTAAAACTTAAATAATAAATATAATTTAATCATTAATTAAATTTTTGTTGAACAAAATTATTTATTTATATTAATTTAAATTATAAAATATAATTTATTATATAATTAAATAATATATAATATTGATTTTATAAATAATCTATTTTAAAAAATATATTTTCTGATTAATGAAGATTTCTGTAAGCAAAAACATAATTCTGTAAAATTTAATTTTTTACGTTTTTCCATAAATTTTTTTACTGACAAAATTTTTGTAGAATCACGTTGAAACGCGATTATGTCATTCTGCAAAATTACCAATTAGAACCTTTGAAAAAACTTAGCATTTGTAAACTAATAATTGTTATGCCTACTGAGCGCTAGTAGACTAGTAATATATAGAGAGCTAGTAGACTAATAATATACAAATCATATATTAAATTTTGTAATTACTAGTATGTTAAGTGAGAAAACAACATGAAGTTTAAAACTACAAACTGAATAATACATCAAAATCATATTTACTCACAAATATATCATCAAATTTACATAATTTATATGGAGTGGTTTATCATGTGTTTTGACAATATTTCTATTATATTTTATTTTTTATTATTTTTGGTGATAGATTTATTTTTTATAGCCAGTAAATTTGATGTCAAAATATAAATTAAAATGAATTGATTCCTTTAATTGATTTCAAATGTTTTACTTTTAAATGAGATAGTATCCAAATGTTGTCTTAAAACTGTAATAAAAACATTAATTGTTTTACTAGATTATGAAAACATAAAATTTAGTTGGTATAGTTGAATATTAATGAATTACCTATTTGGTTTGTTGTTATAGTTTGACTGTTTGAGATATAGAAAACGCATATAGACTTATTTTATGACTGATGTTTTACCGGTAACCGGTAAATAAAAATATTTTGGGCATAAATTTTTTTTTTATCATCAGAAATAATGTTTTGTTCCTTAAAATCTTCATAAAAAGGCAAAAAGAAAAGTTGTTTTGAACATAAATCCTTTTTGATTTTGATGTCTTAGTAACGTCCTTGCCTTATGATTGTATTTTGGGCTTTTCCCTATGAGTTCATTTAACTCTGTATATATATATCTCCTCTCATATTTCTCTTTCTTTCACCATCTTTAAACGCCTAGTTCTCTCCCTCTCTCTCTCTCTTTTCATATAAGACATTCATAAAATCACAATAAATATAACAAACCAAGAAGGGTAAAATGAGCATTCAATTCAATATGAGTAATGCTCAAGAGTTGGGTCGAGAGGGGTTTATTTGGGGCATATCTAGTTCTGATGATTCCGGAAGCGGATGCAGAAGAATGGAGAAGCAACCGTCTCCGCTGCAACCTTCTCATCCATTGGAAATTCCGATTTCGATGGATAAGAATGTTGCAAAAGGAAAAAAAAGAACGAAGAGAAATGAGAAAAATCATGGAGAAGAATCACCTGATCATGAAATACATATATGGACGGAGAGAGAAAGGAGAAAGAAGATGCGGGACATGTTTTCTAAACTCCATGCTTTGCTTCCCCAACTTCCTCCTAAGGTACACGATTTAATACTTACAACATATTATTATTAGTCCGCAATTTTTTTTTTCAAAATTAATTTCAACTATTTGATTGGTTTTTCGCATGCGGATCAGCTGCATAGTGTAACTCGAATTTGCGTATGAACTACCAATCTCATAAATTTTCAGACATGTTTATATATCTAAAGGAAACAGAGTTTCATGCGTAAAATAACATTTGATAAACAAAAAAAAAATATTTTTGGTTTAATCTTATCCAACTGAAAAAGGGAATTTTGTATATGAAATGAAATAATATAAAACTATTCTGCAGATTTCGTTTTCATTTATTTTATTGTTTGACACACCGTCATTCTGTTTATTACCAATCGGAACAAATTAATAGACGGTAATTTTGTTCTTAATTACATCGGTATTAAAGAACATAAGATTCTTATATTTCCGAAGATTGTTGTGTTTTTTTTTTTCTTTCAATTTATTCATCTGTTTATGCTTTCCTTTTCAGGTTTAGTTTCACAACTTTTCGCTGTCACTTAAATTGGGTGTAATTTGGCAAAGCCGTCGAGCTTTCGATTCCTTTTTCTTTTTCTTGTTTGTCTTTGTCCCATTTTTTTTTCTGTTTTCTTTTATAATTTATTTTTGTGGGTGTTAAATTGTTTGTGTCGGAAATCTTACGTTATGCAAAATATATAATATATTCTAATATTTTTAATTTATGAACCACAGGCAGACAAATCAACAATCGTAGACGAAGCAGTGAGCTCAATCAGATCCCTTGAACAAACTATACAAAATCTCCATATGAAAAAGCTTGAGAGACTTCAATATTCTTCTGCTTCAAACACAACTCCAACTACTGCTACTTTCATTCCATCTTCATCTTCTTCTCCCACAACTCTTCCCACACCAATCTCAAACCATTCCCAGATCCTTACCCTAGGCACCGCTGCATCAGATTCTTACTCTCGTGAAGCTTTCTTGGCTGATCAGATATCCTCTTCCAGCACGAAGCTGCCTTACCCTTGTGATGACCCGACCGCTGCGTTCGATATTTGGTCCTCACGTAACGTCGTGCTGAATATCTGTGGGAATGAAGCTTTCTTCAATCTGTGTTGCTCTAAAGACAAACCAGGGGTTTTCACTAACGTTTGTTACGTATTTGAGAAGTACAGCATTGAAGTTTTGTTTGCTAATGCCTCCTCTAATGTTTTCCGGAGCACTTACATGATCCAAGCACAGGTATAATATTTTGTATATTATAAAACATTTTTTATCATATGGTATGTGGTGATATTTAATATTTAATTACGATGCTTATTCTTTTTTTTTGTAATGAAACAGGTAAATCCGAGTTACAGGAATCAGTTATTGGGAGATGGAATCGGAGTTGGGGAAATTTTCAAGCAGGCTGCTCAAGAACTGGTCGTATATTTTTCATCTCCTTGAATCATAAATGGCTGCTTCGGTTTTAATTTTATTGTCAGTTTTAAGTACTTTCAGAGTTTGTTTTTTCGCAAAGTCCCATCTTTTTCGATGTGACTGCAGAGATTGGTTTGGACTTTGCACTTTAAAACCCATTATCTATAAAATCAAACAATTAAAAGAATAAGTGAAGAAATAGCTTCTTCGAACATTGTTGTCTAGTGACTTTTTTTTTTTTTATATTCCAGAAATTATGTTTTCTTTTCTTAATCAATGAATTGGCAAATATTGTCCAGTACTGAGATATTGAATTGCATTTTTCTTTATGAAGGTTAAGATTTCTTCTTTTAAACGCCTACCCAAAGTTTGGCAAATATCATCCAATACATGTTTTTCAACATATAAATATTTTTTTTGAAAATAGTAACAACACCGTTGTATATATTCTAGGGGTGGGTACAAAAACCAAAACCGAAAAAATATAATCATGATTATGGATAAATCTAAAAATCCCTGATAAGAATCTCAGTTTTTTTTTTATTTAGTTTTGGGTTTTATAAATTTAGTTTTTATTGATGGTTTTCTTATAATTTGGATTCTTTTTTTTTGAATTTTTTTTATTTTATTTCACTTATATCTATTATTATTTCTATAAGTTTGAATAATTTTTTTCGGTGATAGTATAATTCCAAATAAACAAAAACTGAACCATATCAAACCAAACCAAATTAGATATGGGTTTTGTATGGTTTTATTTTTTAAAACCAAAAAACCTAAAATTGAAAAAAACCAACCATACCAAACCGTAATATATATGGCCTTTATATGATTTAGATTTTTATAAAACTGATAAACTGTAAAACCGAAGAAATCAAACCGAAACCAAACAAAAAACCGAAGTACAACCAGAAAATTTATGTCACCGTTGTATATACAACCAAAACATTTATGTATAAACTAGAAGTCTAGAACAGTCACTTAAACTTAATAAATGTAAAATTTCCAACACCAAAACGCAGTGACAAGATCCCCAATTAATACGATGGTTCTTGACTCAGTGCATGCTTTAATCAAAGAGAATTATATATATAACTAGGTCATCGACTCGCACCATGTGTAAGTTATAAAATATTTTATATGTTCAATATATGATTAATACAGTATGTATATTTAAAGTGTTTTATTTATACATGATTAATTATGTATTAATAATAACATTATATATATTTAATAATAAAAATAATGATAAATCAAAAAAAAAATTATAGATTTTAATAAAAATTGAAGATAAAAAATATTAACCAATTATAAATATGATAACTAAATAAACTAAAAATAATAAAATATATAATAGTTTATTTATTTTATTTTTTTTGGAACGTACACATGTGCAGATATAATTTCTTATAGACATAATTAGTTGTAAAATTTAAGTATTGATTAATTTTTTATACATTATGTAAACATTAATTTTTATTCATATATAGTTTTAGTGTTTAACAACAATCACGCAAACGTTTCATATCGGTTTGTGTCTTTTGGAAACTTTTTTTTTTCTAGCGTTTACAGTAACATATAGTTGCAAATATAAAAAAGTTATATTAAATAATAATTAAATTTTTATAATATGTTTTGAATATTATCTTTATTATGCTTTATTTTTCTTCATACACAATATAATCTTGTCAATATATATTTTTTAAGTATACATTTTTTCATAACCTATTGCTAATTAAACCAAAATTGGTTTTACCATCTTTACTTATCCTAAAAACGGTGAGGTGGTTGGTATGCACGAATGAAGGGGCCAACCATCTCACCGCTCTTATGATATATAGAGATTTTTTTAAAAAAAATATACAAATTGCCTAATAACTAAAACTAAAATTAGACTGTAATTAAGATTAACAAAATGTATGCAAGACAAGTTGTCATGCGGCTTTGACTTTTTGCAGAATTAATATTTATATCTATATATATTATATATTTGTGAAAAAAATAAAGTATGAATTTATGTGTTAAATAAAAATAACAAAGTATATATTTTGTAATATATATTTTATAATATTCAGTTGAATTTTGTTTTAAAAAATAATATGTATATTTATCCATGTAGGTATGAGTTAGAAATAATTGAATTGTAATATTTAGGTGTTGGTTAGATTTTCTGATATTTTCCGTAAATATTATGTTTTTATACGATGCAGTTTTTGCCGTTTAACAACAATCACGAAAATCGTTTCTATCGTTTGTATTTAATAAAAAAGATATATTTTTCAACGTTTTATGATATATGTTTTTTCAATAAAAAAATATAATAATATTCATTATAAAATTTGTGAAATCATATTTTCTAAAATTCTCTGATAGCCCTCCCCTCGTCTTTTTGTCAAATTTTTTATAGCCTGTACTCGCTCGCTTACACAAACTCTCTGTAACCGCAGCATTTAAACCAGTCGAATCTAAACTTATATGTGTATGATTTAAACTGTAAAATAATATATTTAATATTTGTCTCTTATATTAAAATTTAAGAGTTTTTCTGTTCCTAACTTTGATATATTTATTAATATAAAATATAGTAGATCGCAATATATACAAAATTTTATTCATGAAATAATATATTTATATGTATATGATGGAAAAATATATGCATGAAATAATTAATATGTGTAAGTTAATATTTTTTAATATTTCAAATAAAAATATAAAATCGATCAAAATTATTCTTCTTTATTGTTTTTTTTTTCTTTTTTGACTCATATTTTTTTGTCCTTAGCCTTGAATAATATATTAAACATTAATATCATCCCCAATATATTTTCCTATTTTTTTATCTAAAATATTGATGAATTTCTCTCCAACCTATTATTATTATACAGGAAAAAGAAAGATTGTTATTTTTTACTCCATTATTGAAAAAAAATTATTTTTCCTCTAAATTAAAAGATTTAAAATAAAAGTGGATTAGAGATGCTTTAAGCCAAAAATATAGCATGAGAGTTTTACAAAAAACCAAGGTCGTAAAGATTTATTTTTACTTTTACTTCTACTTCTACTTCTTATTCATATTCATATATACAATATTATAAAAAAAATTTCTAAGAAGATGCTTATAATTTATTTTTCTATCTGTTTATTTTTTGTTTCATTTATAATTTCAAGTTGCTATATAATGAGAATGTATTCATATATGATATAAAAATATTATTTAAAAATAAGATTTATTTAGTTTTAACTTAACCAATCAAAATTTTTTATTTATTTTAGAAAATTTGTCATGTCACATTTCCAGATCATATTTCCAGGTCATCATTAATTTACAATAACTTTTTTTTAGGTTGTGACACATCAGCTTTTTTCATTAAAGCTGTTTGTCAATTAATATTATTTTTTTTCTAAATTGTAACAAACAATATTAACATATAAATTAATTTTTTATAGTCATAAAAATTCAATGCTTAGTCAGCTAATTTTGAAAGATTTTTTCAATGTGGATAAACTGTCTATATCCCATGTAAATGTAATGTGTGGTTAGAAAGATAATGTTATCCTTTCATTCATTATCTTAATTTAACTTTCAGAACATCTTATCCTCATATGTGTATAAAACAAACTGAATAGATAATAGTAAAGATATCTTTCTCTTTTATATTCTCCAAAATTTTCATCTTTATTTTTTCTCTAATTTTCCTAGATCTCAAACTAATTATGTCATCCACCACCATTGAACAACTACATGCTTTCCATGCCCAAGAGAGAAAATTATTTGCTAAACTTGTCATACAATTTGTAAGGCCTCCAGCTGAATCACTTCTTGTCATAGCCACATGGCTTTGGCTTGAAGACTTTGGTTGTGAACACTTATTCTCAATCATCACGGCTCTCAATGATCCATTGGTTATGGCTCTCGCTGATGAAGCTGTCTCGTGCTTCCGATGCCTTGAGTTTATTGAACCAAAAAAAAGCCTTAGCGAGATCCTTCTCACTTCACAATTCATGACAAAAGATATATCTCTTCAAATAATCTATGAAAATAGATACAGTGCTATCACTGGAATTAAAAACTTCTTAACCACTATTTGTTCAAGAATTTTCTCCGACATCATTCAAAGAGTTCTTCCATCATCTTCAACATCCTCTTGTTTCGCCAATCTCCGCCGCCCTCTCAACATCCCTGGTTTTCCACATCCAACTTTTGGGAGCATCAACGTGATGCCTCATAACTTTGTTGGGAATAACCATCCCAACAACTTATTCCCCATCCCCAGTGGTCTCTGGGGATGGAACCGTACTTGCATCGCGACTGAAAACGATCGCACCATGTTTCTAACGTTTTCTCGTGGTTTTCCAGTGTCTGAAGCGGAAGTGAAGAAAGTATTCACCGAAAGATTTGGAGAAAACTGCGTTGAAGGTGTTTACATGCCAGTGGTTAGTGGAAACCATCCTAACATCATTTATAATAACAATAGTCATGAACAATCATTATATGCAAGACTGGTTTTGGACTCAGTCGAAACTGTGGATCGCATACTCGAAGGTGATAGTCTCAGAAAGTTTGATATCCACAAGAAACATATTTGGGCTCGTAAATATGAAGAGAGGCGATAGGAAAGACATAAATATTGTATGTTGAAATCATTTATTGAATGTTGAATGTTGAAATCATTTATTTTATATACTAGTCGAATAATCATGTAAGGTCCACAAAATGTTAAGCTATTTCACTTTGAAAAGGTGAAAAATGAATTTGTTTTTACAAAAAAATTAAAAATGGAGTTCTAAGAAAAAAAAAAGGAAAGGCATGACTTGGTAGTAAAACCTAAAAACCAAGGGCATATACTTAAAAGAAATACCTTAAAATACCATTAAAATCTTTTTTTTTACAAAAATACTATCACTAGTTTTTTTGTTCTAAAAAGGGATTAAATGATATTTTGAGAAGAAAAAAAACTTACGCGTTGTTTTTGTGTTTGTTCGATAAAAATGAATATAGTAAAGATAGACAAAAAGAGTAAAAGTAACATATGACATTACTATATCATATAAGATTTGTTTGAGTGATTTGATTTTCGTTTCTGTTTGTTGGATAAAAGAGAATAATTTGGAGAATAGGAAAAAGAAAAACTTAAGTTTTTTTGTGTGTTTGTTAGATGAAAGATAACTAAATAGAAATAATTAAAAAATAACAGATGTCAACTTTTTAGATGCCATGTGGCAGCATATTAGAGCTGGTTCTACAAAAAAAAAACTTACTTTATTAGAATCATCTATACTAAATATAAGAAACTATTTGAG